ATACCATTAGAGATCAAGATTTCACAAATTGTAAAGATGGTGATGGAAATACTATCTTACACTTGGCAGTGGCTGATAAGCAAGTTGAGGTATGCCAATAGCTCTATTTTCATACTAGATTTCAACTGAACCTCTATTTTTTTTTTTTTCATTTTTTTTTCGAGAAATGTCTATGATTTCATGAAAGAGGTTTATATGTGGAGTTTACCATTCAGTATGGAGGATTTAGAATTTAAAACGAAAGAGATGCTAAACTCTTCTTTTCTACATTGCTAATATATCGTATACCAAACATGTACTACATATTATTGAAATGTTTGCAGACAGTTAACTTTTTGCTTATGGAGTCTGAAACGGAAGTTAATGCTCAAAATCTTTGTGGGAAGACAGCAATGGATGTTCTGATCCATAGTCGAAGAGATGTGAGGGATGAAGAAATTGAAGAATCTCTAAAACGTGCTGGAGCATTTGGAGCAGTGGAAAACAATTCATTAGTCCAAATTAATCGTAATATAACTAGTCCAGGCTTGAATTTGTCATCGGATCACACTGATTTGCCCTCAAACGTGAAAAAGAACCATAAGAAAAAGATGTTTAAACGGAAAGATGATTGGTTGGAGAAGAAACGAAGTGCATTAATGGTGGTGGCTTCTTTAATTGCAACCATGGCATTTCAAGTCGGAGTCAACCCTCCAAGCGGAGTATGGCAAGATACTTCTCCGGTCGACTCAAAAGATAATCCCGTATCAGTTGCTCATCCTCACAAGGCAGGAGAATCCATTTACGCCCATAATTATTCGGGTTTATATGAAGAGTTCTTCATTGCTAATACAACAGCACTCGTTGCATCACTCAGTATTATATTATTGTTAATGAGTGGTTTGCCTTTAAGGAGGAGAATATTTATGTGGATTTTGATGGTGATCACTTGGATTGCAATTACAGCAGTTGCATTGACTTATCTCGTATCAATAGCTGCATTAACACCAGATGATGAGCTACTAAAAGACCCAATTATTTCTGTGATTGAGTTATATGTTTATATATGGCTTGGCCTCATGGGTCTCCTACTCATTGGACACACGATTCGGTTGATAAAAAAGATGATACGAAAGTTAATAAAATGTCTGAGCCCGAAAGAAAGAAATCGGGGTTTGGGAATTACAAGTCACGACACTGTTTAAGGTGTTGTTATGTTATGCATAGTACGTTGGAGAGTACAATATTGAATGTTACTAAAGTTGAAATCGAAAGTAAAGTCTTGTTTATTCTAGTGTTCGATCATGTTCAATACTATAGATAGAAAAATGCCTTAATCATTTGCACTATAAATATTTAATGTATGACCATGTTGTAATTTCATTCCAATTGTTGTGTTTCACGGAAGGTCTCTGTAATACACATACACTCTTTTTCTAATTCATGAGTAGTATATAATTTATCTCCATATACAGTATTTTATTTATTCCAACATTTATTTTAAAAATTCAGCTACTAATTATAGAAGAATCACACTTGGTTGTTATTTAATCAACTTAATTTCTTTTAATACATGGATGTCATCAATATTTGACTTTAGGTCCTTTATCATATTAAATCAACTTAATTTCTTTTAATACAAAGAGAAAGTGTCTCGATCAAGGTGTAGAAAACTCCGCGTAAGGTGTTGAGATAACTACTTCTAACTCCTCTACTTCAAAAGTCATATATGTCAAGGGATACATCAGAGCATGTCAAGGTGAAGCTTATTGAACTAAAATTGATTGATTTTAGTTTGGGTCCAACAAAAAAATTATACTTCCAAAATAAATTATAAAGTGTAAATTACTGTGCTAACTTTTTGTTTCAGTTTCACGCTGATTAATCGGAGTACATAATAATTCGTTCAAATTCATATAAAATTTATGAAAATAAATAAAATTATCCTAAATATTAATGAGTAATATAAAAAATCAGTATTATTTAAATAATTAATAAGAAAATTACGAAATTGATTATGTGTTAAGGAAATTGCGAAATGGGAAAATGCAAAAAAAATAAAAAATAAAAAAAATGGAGGAAATAACTATACTTGATTAACTTAATAATTTATTAGATCTACCACAACTTGACCTTAACTTGCAAAGATTTAAGACGTTTAAGCTAATGAAAGCTCAAGATATAAGTTATTTAAAAGCCAAAGATTTAAGACATTAAGTTTAAATGAATTTTAGCGCAAAAATTTAATGAATAACTAGGTTGTAACAATTGTTATTTGCATGGTATTTCACACAGACAACCCAAGTTAGAATCACTATGTAGATCGTTTTGTAAATTCTTTTTATAAAAATGTTTTTGGAGTTAAAAAATCATCATTTGCCTCATTAAGGCAAAATTATGTCAAGTTAATTGGAGGGAATAAGTTTATTGTTAATACGAATTTTCCTTCATTTTACATGAAAACATTCATTTTCCTTCATTTTACATGGAAAACGAAATTGGCTTTGGTTCTCTTTCAAAATTTCTTTTTAATTAAGTTAAGCTTAAAGGAATGGCAATGGTGTGAAGGAGAAAGGTTTCTACACCATTTTTTCCTTTATATTTCAAGAAAATCAAGGTTCGTACATTTACTATTTTCGTTCATGATATGTATATTTGTACGCATGTGATGTGATTTTTGAAATTATGAACCGCAAGGTTTATGTATGGCCATGATCGGTTTGTACGATTCCAGTGAATTCTTCGGAATCTTGAATTTGCCTATATTCTTTTGAGGTTTCTGCCCAAGCTTTGTCTCACCACCCTGCATAGAATTCTTATGAGTTTTTGGAGAAAATAGTGCGGTATGATTTCTCTACGAGTCCTCTATCCATAGGCTTTGGAATCAAGTTATTGTTGGGAAAAATCGCCTCGAA